AGAACCCAAGAATGGACTAACAGTTACCAAAGGGAAAGGGACTGGTGAGGATGGGTGGGAAGGGATGAATAAGGGCGGGGGAGGGGGCATTACGATTAGCATGTATAATATGGGGGGGGGGCACGGGGAGGGCTGTGCAACACAGAGTAGACAAGTAGTGATTTTACAGCATCTTCCTATATTGAGGGACAATGACTGTGAATGGGTATGTAGGGGGGACTTGGTGAAGGGGGGGACCTAGTAAACATAATGTCCTTCATGTAATATAGATTAATGATACCAAAATAAAATTAATAAAAATTAAAAAAAAAGGACAGCTCTGAGATGGAAGGAATGTTAGAATTATTGAACAGAAATTTTAAAGGAGCCCTGACTAAAATGCTCCAGACTGGTGAAGTAAAACTATCATTACTGGCAGATGACATGATTCTGTATAAAGAAAACCCTATCAAAAAAAAAAGAAGAAGAAAAGAAAAGAAAAACCATTAGAGCTAATAAGCAAGTTCAGCAAGGGTACAGTATGGAAAACTAGCAATTAACAATCTGAGAAGTAAATTGAAAAAACAGTTTCATTTACAATAGAATCAAAAAGAGTAAAATACTTGAGTATATGCAACCAAAGAAGTGCAAGGCTTGCACACTAAAAACTCCAAACTTTGTTAACAAAACTAAAGATGATCTAAATAAATGCAAAGGCACCCTGTGTCCATAGATTTTAAGACTTGATGTTGCTAAAATGGCAATACTTTCCATACTGGTTTACAGATTCAATGTGGGCTTCGTCGCAGAGACTGACAAACTAATCCTAAATTCATAAGGAAATGCAAGGGACCCCAAATAGCCAAAACAATCTTGACAAGACCAACAAAGTTGGAGCACTCACGCTGCAGGATTTCAAACCTTAACCACAAAGCTTGAGTGATCAAAACAGTGTGGTGCTGGCACAGACCAATGGAATCAAGCCCAGAAATAAACCTTGCATATTGGGCAAGTAATTTTCAACATGGGTGCCAAGACCATTCAATGACAAAAGGACAGTGTATTCAACAAATGGTGCTGGGAAAATGGATACCTACATGCGAAGGAGTGAAGCCAGACCCTTACCTCACACCATATTCAGAAAAGTAACTCAAAATGGATCAAGTACTTTATTCTAGAAGCTAAAATTATAAAACTCTTAGGACAAAACATAGTGGAAAAACTTTCATTACCATGGGTTTGGGCAATGAATTTTTAGATATGACATGAAACATATAGTCAACAAAGGAAAAAATTGATAAATTGGACTCCATCAAAATTTAAAACTCTACACATCAAAGGACACTAATAACAGTAAAAAGGCAACCAACAGAATGGGAAATATTTGTAAAATGTGTCTCTGATAAGGGATTAATATCCAGAATATATAAGAATTTATAAAACTCAACACCAAAATACAAGCCCAAGAATGGGCAAGGGGCCCAGAACAGGTGTTTCTCCAAAGACACAAAACTAACCAATAAGCACATGAAAACATGCTCAACACATTAATTATTAAGGAGATGGAAATCAGTAACACAGTAAGATATACTTTATACTCATTAGAGCAGCCATTATAAAAAAGAAACAGAGAACAACAAATATTGGTGAGGACATGGAGAAACTAGAACCCTTGTGCTTTGCTGGTGGGAAAGTAAAATGGTGTAGCCAGTGTGAAAGAGTCTGACAATTCCTCAAAAAGTTAAAAATGGCCTTGCCACATGACCCAGCAATCCCAATCCTATGTAAATAACCAAAAGAACTACAAACATATCCCCACAAAGACATGAACATAGATGTTCACAGCAGCATTATTCATAATAGGCCCAAAGTGAAAACAATCCAAACATCCATTAGATACATGACTAAACAAAGGGTGTACTATTACTGAGCTATGAAAAGGAATGAAATATCAATAACACACTAAACATATATGAACCTTGAAAAATTATGCTAAGTGCAAGAAGCCAGTCACAAAAGGTCACATATTATATGATTTCACAAATGGCCTAGAATAAGCAAATCCACTGAGACAGAGGAGATAGTGGTTTCCAGAGTCTGGGGAGAGAACTGCTCTGTAAGGTGATGAACTGTTTGCATGCAGGTAGTGGTGATGGCTATGCAGCTCTGTGAGTACACTGAAACCCACTGACCTGTACTCTGTAAGGGGATGGAATTATATGATGTGTGGATTGTATCTCAATAAAGAGCAAAATGAAAGTTTAATTGGAAAAAAGACTCAGAAAGACTTCTCCTGAAAACTGAACAGACAGCAGTGACCTCACCTGCTCGTAGATCTCGATGGCTTTCTGGTACTGCTCAAGCTGGGCAGCATATGCTGCCACTTTCAGCAGACACTTGTTAGCTGAACTGAAACCAAGAAGAGAATAAGCAACAGTTTGACAGAAAAATAAAAGCGTGTCCCAGTACACTTTCACTGGGTGCAGCCCCATATGCTAATGTAGGCGAAGGTGTGCTTATCACACATAACTAACCTATTTCATGATAGTAAGAAAAATAATACTTGCCTGTTGGATTCCTCTCCTTTGTAATAATCAGCCGACTGCTCATAATGTGCGATGGCCTGAAAACACACATGTACTTTATTCAAACCACTCATTTGAAGAGTTGCACTTCAGAACTACATTTGCATAGATATTTTTCCATAATTAAACCTGTGAACAGGTCCAACAGTCAACCTTTCACAACTTGGCATACTTTATTTAGGGAATACAAAAAAGCTTGCACCTCCAGAAGCCTGAGGCAGAATGCTCGTCATCCATCAAAATCTCTCCTGCTGTTTCCTGCAAGGCAGATCCCCAGCCACACCATCCCCCAGTGCAGTTCAGGGCAGCCATGTGACCCACTCTTCCCAATGGACTGTAAACAGCATGCTGGGGTGACTTCCAGGCTTGGCTGTACTCTGACTCTGCATTCTTCTCCTGGCCTTTTCCCCTTCCCATGAGCTAGAATGGCAAGGACCAAGTCCAGATTAACACTGGAAGTCACAAACTGTTGGCATAACTTCTGTCAGCCTAGTTGCTAAATAACTACAGAAGGCAGAATGTACCTCAACCTGTGTCCCCACCTCACCAAGCCCAGAACAGCTATGCCGGACTGTTAGAGACACATGCAGTCCTAGTACATTTTAGCTCTATGGCTTGCTACAGTAGCACAGACTCCTCTCATTAATACTAGCACAAGGGTGTTGCCTTCCATCTGAACATGCGGTGTGCAATTCACATTCAAGTGGAAAGGAAACAGGCTGGGCTGGAAAGCCCTTGTCATGCAGGGACAAGATTTAGTGAAATCAAGGATGTGGCAATTCAGAAGGCAGAACACAAGCCCACTGGAGCTGGAAACTTGGGGAGGAAGCTCTATGGAAAGAGAGAGAGAGAGAGAGAGAGAGAGAGAGAGAGAGAGAGAGAGAGAGAGAGAGATGAAGTGCACACTGCTATTTTCAGCAAGGTTTTACAAGAGACAGAACTCTGGGCAGAAGTAGTTGGGTTGCAGGCAATTATGAGGGAAATCCACAAAGAACGGTAGTAATAGGGCCTTGTAAGATCGGAAAAGCCAATGTTTCTATATACCCCAAATGGCAAGAGGTAAGTCTAAACAATGTTTTAATCTAGGGGTCCAGCCAACTTTTCTTTAACAGGCCAATAATGAATATTTTAGTCTTTGTGAGCCATACAATCTGTTGCAACTACTTAGCTCTCCTGTGGTAGCACAAACTTGGCCAAGATGATACATACATGAGTATGGCTATGTTCCATTAAGCTTTATCTAAGGACAATGAAATTTCAATTTCTTATAATTTTTATGTGTCATAAAATGCTTTTTCCCACTAATGAATTACAAAGTATAAACTATTCTTTTATACACAAGCAGACATAAACAGGTGGTGGGTTGTTAGACCCCTGCCTTAAATTTCAAGGCTTTCTCAGTCAGCCCCAAAGAGAGAGAGAGCTAGCAGGATGCAAATGTCAGATGACAGAGGCTGTCTGCCACCCCAGCATGTCACTTTAACAGCTTCCAGGCAGCCCTACTGACTTAAGGGAGAGGCACAGGGACAGAAGACAACAAAACACATCAGGCCAGGGAATTGTGCCAGAAAGTCACTTTGCTGTGGCTACTGGGAGCTGACTGGAGGCACAGACCTGGCCTGTGAAGCCTCAGCACCCCCACACCCACAAACGTGGCAGCCTCACCATTAAGCAGGTCTGGACTACAGAGCACCACTGGCAGTTGGTGAAAAACAGACACACTTCTGTGTTTAAATAATTATGTTTTGGATCCATCTGGTTAGCCATTTAGCCTACCCTAGTATGTTCCCCAATTTTCTGAATGTTATTTATAATAGGAGAAAAATGGGCAACAATTTAAGTGGTTAAATATAATGGGCTACTGTGCCAACATTAAGAATCATGACAGGAAGTACCAATATGTAACGTTCCTCATGAAATATTAAGTTAAAAAAAAGCCATCAAGAACAGATGCACTATAGCCCTTTTTACAAATGCATATTTAAAACACATCTGGAATCCTGCCCTTTGGAACACTTGCTGGAGCTGTGGCACACATGGTGGGATTACCTGATGTGAGTACATACCCTCCCACTAAATGTAAGCACTGTGAGGGCAGAATCTCATCACAGTCTGGCATACCATTATGTCCCTGAGCTTAGCATAATGCCTGTACACAGCAGGCGCTCAATAAATGGATGCTAAGAGTATAAATGAAACTTCATTTCAAATGATAATCCCCTATTGAATTACTGCCAATATCTTCATCAATCTGGAATATCCACAACGGATGTTTTTCAGTGAATTTCTCATTAACCAAAAACAATCCTCTCTGAACTGTCCTCATTCTCTAAAGTATTTAACACTCTTTCCCATCATAAGTGGGGTAAAGTATGAGAAACAGGACCAGGTCTTTCTAGAGCATCAGATTACATGACCTTTTCCTAGGGAGGGAGTGCAGCTACTTCTCTTCTAGTTCTTACAGCACCAGAATTCCACGAATAGCATTGACTTGAACCATACATAGCTGCTGTTTGGAAGGTTTTAAAAAAAAGGCCAATGTGGACAATTTGGTTTAACCTAATATTAAAATAATGATAGTGGCTCATCAAAATGTTAAAACTATAAACTACAGCTAGATGTATCAGAGTAAAAAAATTTTAGTAATGCTAACTAAACCAATAATCAAATTTCATGGTTTTCCCAAGTATTGACAGAGACTGTAGTTGAAAGGAAAGTTTATTTAGTTGTGGCTTAATGGGTAAGTTTCAGGAAAAAGAGGCTGGGCATGTTCACACCTAGTCTGGAATTTTACCATATAGTGAAGACCAGGCACAAGTAGACCCTTCTACATTAGACATCAGCCTGCTGTTTCTTACAATTTCAAGGGTGATCCTAAATATCACCCTTGTAGATCACAGCCATGAATAACAACAGCACACATAACAATAAATTCAGACATGAGCACCACCTGATGATCCTGTTACTTAAGTGCATGCCAACACACACCGTCGTCCTTCCAGGGAAACCCAGTGAACGTCACACTGCCGGAGAACGGATGGCTACTGAATGAGCCAAGGTCCCCAGGACTGCAGGTAGAAGCATCTCAGAGCAAAGGGAGACCCCAAATGGAAAACTGTGGGTGGAACAGCCTTCAACAGCCTGAGACGAGACCACTTCTCCCAGAACATATACCTCCAGAGAGGACCTAACATGAACCTGCCACAGACACTTATCCTACATTGTAACAGTATTAAATCATGTTCTACAGGGGTTGGAATGGGCCAAAGTTCCTGTGTGTCATATAAAAGACCACAGAAAGAGAACTATTTATTGTTTGGTTCAGTGTTTTACTTTATGAAGTAAAAGAGGGAATGTGAGCTTATGAAACCTTACACTTCACTGTTCACTAGATACCTGTGAATGAAGCTGCAGAGATGGCACAGCACTGCGGTCTCCTACCTCCAGTGCTCTTCTATGAACAGGGAAGCATTCATGTGTAATAAGTGACACATAAGATACCTTAGTCATAAGTGGTTTTTGAACTTGAGCTAAATGCACCACCAACACTATCTGGTGAGTCCAACATGGGATGCAAAGGCAATGATGTTTCTAAATACAGGAGGCCAAACATATAGGGAACAAGCTAACCCTGTGTGTGCTGATTCTTAAATTACCTTTAAGAAGTCAGGGTATCCATGAAAGACCATGCCACCTACTGGCCAACCTGCAGAGCGGTAGGAAGACTAGGCATATGGCCTCAGAAGTTGCCAGTTTTTTAAGGAGGAAAACAAGAGCAGGCCACGCATCCTTTTATCCACCCTGAATTTTATGGCAACCCATGTGGTGGAGCAGTTGTCCAAGACCATGCCCTGGCAGCGGACAACACAGCACTGCAGCATCTGCCTCAAGTGCTCTTCTGGCCACCGCGGACAAGAAGCTGATGAAGCAGCTGGCAAGGCTCTTTGCACAAATGTGTGCTTTTCCCGAAGGTCTCATTAAAGATACTGTGCCCACCCAGGGCACCCTGACCAAACAATATCCCAGCCACCCAGACCCATCTCTGCTGCTCTGCCATCAATCCTGTGCCAGGGAACAAAGAAGGGCTGAGGTCTGGGTCTCCTGTCTTACTCCAGGACCTGCAGACAACCTTTTCAAAGAGAAGGTGCACATGCATGTACCAGTGCACCTTGTGGCCCTGATTTAGTCCAGGTCAGAGGGTGTCCTTAAAAAAGCAAGGCATATTATGACAAAAACGGCCAAGTTATGAATTCTACCTAACAAGTCATCTTACATGAACTTCCATGCTGCATAACCACTACGGTGTGATGGTCAGCATGAAGTCAGAGGGCGAAGGTTAACACTACCAGAACAACTTAAGCATAAGAGGCACCCCCAAGCCAGGAAAGGATGCATCTGCTGCAGCAGGTGTGATTAAGCACAGCTCTGTGCTCTTGGGGTAAACCAGTAAACCGGAGGCTAAGCTCCTGCTGACAGAGGGCACCCACTTTAGCAGTGGGAGACATGATGAATAACAGGAATGATAAGCAAGCACATTGTAGCACAGGATGTAACATGACACATGTATTGCCAAAAAAAAAAAAAAAGGCTGAGGTCGAGGAAAGTATGTGGGTATGTGCTAGTGAGGGGATGAGGTTCCAATTACTAGGCAGTCATCATAGGGCTCATGGAAAAGGAGATGAATGAGCAAAAATTTGAAGAATAAGGAGCTGTTACCCATGTGGACATCTAGCAAAGAGCTCTGCAGGCAGAGGAAACAGTGGTGCAAAGGTCAGGCAGGAGCTCATCTGACATGCATGTGGGCCAGCAGAGGGCAGAGTGAGGGAAAGTGGGGAGTAAGAAGAAAAACCCCAAGAGGCACATGGATGAGGGAACAATTGGTGGGGCACTGGCAGGGATCTACAAGGCTCCGGCTATTCCTCTGAGTTAAGGGAAGGCAATGCCAGGCAGTAAGCAGCAGAGAAACACAATCTGATTTACTCTGACAAGGACCATTCTAGCTGCTGTTACACTGGGCGGAGGGGGTACTCTCTTACTGACAACATCAAAAATGAGTGTGATATGTATGAAATCACCATTTTATATCAAGAGAAAAACTCTCTTGTCAGCAACAGTATGCCAACTTCCGTATTACATACATTCCTTTGACGGGTACACTGCGGTCTTGGTGAACATGCTCATTTCTCAGTAGCAAGTGCACAGGAGAGATGAACAGAGTGAATCAGAAGGAAGGGGGTGATGGGGCCCTGTGTGCCAAGGGCCTCAGTGGGAGGAGAAACATGGAGACTAGTTTGGAGGTCACTGCAGTGACCCAGGGAAAGCAGGCGACAAGAAGACAGTGAGAAATGCTGAGACCTGGGAGTGCTGAGGACAACAGGCTGGCTGTGGGGGAAGAGAGCAGCAGCAAGGATGCTTGTGGTTTTGGGGGCACATGGGGGGAGGAAGGGTGAGGTCAGGGTTCAGTCTCAGACCTATTGAGTTTGAGATGGTGGATGGGACGGGGATGCAGGAAGGAACCTGAAGTTCAGAGAGGTACAGGCTGAAGTGAGACTTGTGAGTCACTGGCACAGAGGCGATACTTCAGGCTGGGATGCTGAATGACTGCAGAGTGCTGTGGGAACAAGGGCCCGGGAATGAGGTCAAGCCCCCACCCCAGATGGTGTGGAATAGAGAGGTGAGGTGGCCCAAGAACCAGGCATGCACTATCCAGGAGTGAAACAAAGGAGAAGGAAAGCAACAAGCATCCACTGTGATAGCAAGGGGCTGTTCAGACAGGATGGGACTATTGTCTCTAGGAACAAGCTCAGCGCTCACTGGTCTGATGGTGCCAGCAATGATCTCACTGGTGTTTCCTTCTTATGATCACACCTGCTCTCTCCACAGAACTCAGGAGCAGTTTTACATGAACATGTCTTCAGTCTGAGTGGAGGCAGCCTCTGGAGTCTGACAAATGTGTTTTCCTCTCACCAAGTCTACTCCAGCCCTGCTGGTAAGCCCATGACTGAGGAGACAGCAAGAGATGGGCACAGGCTCAGCACTGGAGCCAGAACCCCCTGGCCCCACTCTGTGTGATCCTAGGCAGTGCAACTCCCTTGCCTAGTTCCCACACCCATGAAGGGGACTCAGTGCTGTAAAGCTGAAATGTGGTAAGACATTGGCATGCCACCAGGGACAAAGCCTGGGAAAACAGTGGTGCTCAGTTAGTGTTTCCTCCTTCCCCTTTTCTTTTGCTACTATAAACCACAGCTCAGAAAACCAGAGCTGAGTGAAACATGTACGGCCAAGTTAGTGTTCACATCCCTTCTACCCCAGAGTTGGGGACTGAATAAAAGGTGTGCAAATGCCCACTGTACTTATGCTTCCTCCCCAGGGCTGCACAGGCCTCAGACAGGAAGATCCCCTGGTACTGGCAATGGTTTGACCCAAATCAGAGCTCAAACACAGGTGGGTGTGGTCTATCTGAACCGGCTCTCCTGCCTCAGGTGAGACCTGAGGAAAACAGCCATCTCTGCTTCAGCCTCTACAGTCTCCAGGTGAAGCCACCTTTGATCGCTCTGACCACAAAACTCCACTGGGAGAGGGAGGGCGCCTCAAGTCAGCTTACCCACCCACTTCACATCAAGTTCATGAGGAGCACGTCTATTGCCTACCTTCTCGATGTCTACAAGTTCAGTCTCATAGATCTCAGCAATGGTAATGTGGTGCTTGGCTGCAATTGTAAACCTTCCCTGAAGAGAAAAACAAAAAACAAAGTCACATTCCTGTCTGGGAGCTAAAAGAAAAAAGTAATCTCCCCCCACTCTAAACCACCTTAGGACCCCACCCCACAGCCACTGGAAAAAGTCAATGTCTTACCATGTCTGTGTAAATGTCGATGGCTGCATTTAAGCAGTTGATAGCCTCTGAAGCGAAGGCATTTAAGAAAAACAATAAAAAATCCATTCAGTCAAGGAGGGTTCTGGTGAACCTATCTTCCTGGCTGTTCCTAGAATGTTCTGAAGGTCCCACTGGGGTGGAGGGTGGCAGGTTAGTCAGTGGGAAGCAAACACAGATTACACACAAATCCAGACCCCCTGAGTGCGCGCTGGCTACAGCAGCTGCAGTGCAACTTAGGGAGTGGGGCCTGGAGTGCCGCTGGCATGGCTACTCTGAACCTGACAGTGAGGAATCCATCCAGGTGGAAAGACTGCATTATAAAGACAAAATTGTGGGGGCTGTTATCAACACTCATCAACTAACTCTATCTGCCAAAACATAAACATAAATGCATTTTTTGTTGGTATCATACATATGTATGAATTTTGGAAGACAGTACTTCATAAGAAAGATTGTTTTGATACATTCTACTCGTCCATGCAGCCAAAATCAAAAGCACTTTGAAATCCCTGTTCATATAACTCTTAAATGAGGTCAACATTTTGCACAATGTTAAAAGATGCTAGCTTTTGGTACACTAACATGTATCAATTTTCTCAGTGAGCCAACAAATTTCCCATTACAAAATGGTAGTATTACATGCTGGCTTATGGCTGACAACTCCAAGTTTATTGCTTTTGTTTTTTAAAAGAGGCAGCAAAGTGAAAAGGCCTGAATGAAGAATTAAAAAGGTACAGAGATTTAAAAAAAATAAAAGCAATTTCCTCCTAAACTAAGTTAAAAGATGCTAGCTTTTGGTACACTAACATGTATCAATTTTCTCAGTGAGCCAACAAATTTCCCATTACAAAATGGTAGTATTACATGCTGGCTTATGGCTGACAACTCCAAGTTTATTGCTTTTGTTTTTTAAAAGAGGCAGCAAAGTGAAAAGGCCTGAATGAAGAATTAAAAAGGTACAGAGATTTAAAAAAAATAAAAGCAATTTCCTCCTAAACTATGCAAGAAATGTGGACTCATTGTTATGCCTTTAAACATACAGAAAAATAGAAAAATAAACTACCATAATCCCACTCAAACCCACTGTGAATACTTTGGTTCATTATTCCTTCCAGTGTTTTCTGGATGCATGGCCATAAGCATGAAATTTTTTATGCATTTGAGATCTCAATTTTAAAGTGGTTCTTTAGTTACCATGTGAACATTTACCACAGAACTAAAGATTCTCTGAAACCAGGGATTTTAATGCCTATTTTCACATTCTAAAACACTGATTTACCATTTCACTCTCACTGTTCATTTAGGCTGTATCCAGTTTTTCACTTTTGGAAGTAAACTGATTAATCTATATACAAAGCCCTTGAGATATCTTATTTCTGTAATGATATATTCATTAAATTGGGATTTCTGTAAAACTGACTGCTCAAGAAAGGGAGACTCCACGGCCATCGGTGTATATGTGGGAGGGAAGAAGTTAACGACGTTAGCTGCTCAGTGCACCAAGTGCACATTCCTCTAACTACAAAAGTGGTTACCACTTGCAAACCATTACCACTTTAAATACCTGATATTCTTTCTTCAAAACCAGTACTTAAAAAACGTCTTCTAAAAAGTCAGATGAATACTGTGATTAAGTTACTTTTAATTATTAGATATTATTACAACCTCCCATTAACTGGATCTTAAAGCACACTAGGTATTTAGTAGGAGTGAGGGAACATCAGTTTCCTTTAATGAACAATTATCTATTCATAAAATTAAGACTATAATTTTGTCTTTTGAAAAATTCTCCAAAATGCAATATAAATGTAGTTTAAGAAAATTAGGTGTTAACTAAACAGCCATGACAAATTAATGTCTCTCCTCCTCATAAAAACTCCAAATTATTAATACTTAAAATTGGCAAAATCCCTATTATTCCAAAGTACAATGACTTCTTTTTTAAAAGGCCCAGGTCTTATAGGCCCAGCACGGAATCCATGACGGTCACCAACACCAACCTTACAGACCCAGGTACCCAGACATGGTAGCATCTTACCTTGGGGGTCCGCCTTTTTGTAAGCATTCCCAGCATCCACAAAGCTGGTAGCAGAGTCATGTTTGCTCTGAAGCTGCATGTGGAGCTTGGCTGCCTGACAAAAGGCATTTCCTGCAGCTGAAGAGACAAATGACTATGATTAAACACAGAGGGACAAGCATTGCAAAGGGCAGCCCATGTTCTAAGTGCTGGGACCTACTCTTAGGAAAGTTCCATGTTACCGAAAAGAAACATTTTAGTCCAAAGCATGTGTAATGTGATCAAGCACACCTTAGGCATACGTAACAATCTCTAGGACTAAGGGAGCAGTGATGTACATTTCTCTCAGTCCCAAGAGACCATCTGAGTGGCCCAGCAACAGGCTTCCATTCAATACCAAAAACCAGATCCTGTTCAGTCCTGTTCCCCAGCATACAGTTAACACTGACTGGAGGATCAAGCTACACATTTAAAGGAAGGTAAACTACAGCGGCCACTGGCATTTGCTTGCTCATCTTCTTACAGTGCCTGCAGCAGTTAGGTGTCACTGAACTGAAACTGCTAATGAAAGCTCCATGGACTAAGTTTCTCAAAGAGTGGAAGAACATTAGGCCCAGAGTTTTGAAATTCAAATTTAAATCTACAACAAAATCTGTCTGAAACTTAAGACAAGGTTTATGTCTTTATTGTTGTTGGTGGAGAACTCACACATATACCTGCAGAATCACAGATGGGTGTGGCTGAGGGGCCTCTGCATAGGCCCCTGCTGGGACATGGCAAAACATGCAAGATTAATGCAGTAAGTTCTTTCAGAAAAGGCTTTGGGTCAGGTTCTGAAGTGGCAGGAGAGAACAAGGGGCAGGAATCTCTCAGAGAAATCATGCAAACAAGGAAGGACAAATGCTTGAAGGCAAGGAAGGGCTGGGACTGGAGGCCAGGGACAAGCTGTGCTGCCTGCAGGAGGGGGAAGAACATGCTGGGGCAGCGGGTACCAAGGCTGAAGAGGGTGTCAGGCTAGGCCAGAGAGCTTTAGTGATGACACGAGGAGTCTGGATGACCCCACTGTAGCATGAGGCCCTCCGTTCAGAGAGAGCACCACAGACCGGGGAGCATAAGGCCTCTGGGGACAAGGCTCAGTGAGGTCTCGACAGGAAGGCAGCAGAGCAGAGTGGAGGAGAAAGCATTTGCTCCCCAGGGAGACGTACCATCAGGAATATAACAAAGCCTTTCAGTATTAAAAAAACATTTTTAGTCAAACATTTCAAAAACATTCAAAGAAGTACAGAAAATAGAGACAGACACCTAAGCACCCATGGCTGGTAGTATTTCTTTTTAAGAAACAAAACATTCAATTACACTAAAGCTCCAGCAGCTGTCCCTTGTCCTGACCCTGACCCCTCTTCCAGAAGCAAGCATGCAACTCCCACTTGGATTTCTGGTCTTTCCCCTGAGGGAGAAAAGAGGCAGGTCTGCCCAAGCCAGCCTGCCACGTTCAACCCTTGCTCTGTGCAATATGAAAAGGGCACCTGGGCCACTGTGAAAATATCTAAGCACTAAGCGTGGCTTGGGCATGGCTGCCCAGTGAGGGTACTGGCCCCCTGGAGCCAGGCCAGGAGAACACCTGCCTGCTAGACTTTAGTCCTCTCGCTGGGGAGTCATGAGGCTGGGGGTCCCAGAAGAGGGGCCAAAGGCTGCCACCAGGGTAGTGGGCAGGCACCTGGGTACCTGGGGTAGCAGCTAACTTCCAAGCAGCAGTTTAGGAATGTTATCAACAGCAGCTCTCACAGGCTCTGCTTTAGAAGAGTGTCCTAGCGACTTGGAGCTCCCAAGTAAAGTGCTTCGAACAGCCTGGTTCCTGTTAGGAACAAGCTGGCCATTCTCATTATTACATGAAATCTATCACTGGGCCATACCTATGGTTTGGCACGTTTAAATGTCATTTATTTTACAACCTCCCTCTGCTATTGGTAATTTCATTTTTGACTATTTATGTTCACTGTCCCACAACTATTGTGATTCATTCCTTCCTCCCTGGCTCTCTCAGGCTAACTCTTGTCTCCCCAAACAATATTAAGAGCTTTAATTCTACAATTTTATGCTCCTGCCTTCCAGAAGTAGCTGCTGGCTTACTTTTTCACTCTGAGCACCCATTCCAGTCACCAGTAACAAATTCAATCCTGATCTCTCCAAACCTGAGGTGTCTTTAAAGAAACTGTATTGAACGAAGTCACACAACTTCTCCAGCTCTATTTTTTCAACTATAAAACTAATCTGATACCTTCCAGGATGATCTCTTAAAAGCTGTGTATGAAAGGAATTAGCCTAACTCTTTACAAAAGGGCTTTTAGAACTAGAGAGATGCAGTGCTGTTATGATCACCACCACTGCAACACAGAATCATTTGCAAGAAACCAACATTTATTCATTCACTATACAAATATCCTGAGCATGTACTGTTGCAATACAAATACCCTGAGCATGTTGCAGGAACTAGTCCAGAGCTAGGGCAGGACAGCATGTAATAAAAACACATTAAATAATGTAAGTTAATTAATACAAATAATGGCAACAAGGGCACTGGAGAAAAGGGAATCTTTAAGAGGGATGGCCAGGACAGACTAAGGCAACATCTGGAGGAGGACCTGAATGCAGGAGGGAACCAGCCACCCTCTATTCTGGGAAAGAGGGAACAGCAAACACAAAGGCTGTGAGGAGGGGGTGCAGTGAGCGAGGGGAGTGGGTGGGAGATGGGGTTGGAAACAGGAAGGGGTAAGGAGATCAGGCAGGTCCTTGAAGGCCACTCCAAAAGACTTTAGCTTGTGTTGGATATGATGTGGCCTGACTTACGCTTTAACAGGATTACCTTGACTTCTTCTTTAAAATAAAGTGGGAGACTGCCACAGCCTGAGGACAGGCTAGAGATGGGGTGGGTGCACATGAAGTTATGTGAAGATTAATGGTCATGAAACACTATTCCCAAAGGTTGAGACCACCTGGTCACCAGGGAAAATAAAGATGTGGTCTTTTTAGGTGAGTGGTCTTTCTACCTTAAGACTACCTGTGACTAGAGAAACCTCAACAAAACAAAAGATGTGGCTGCTGAGACAATACTCTTCTCCTCCAATTTTTTTCAATACATTATACTTAAGGTGTAAGTGCATTTTGAAAACATATTCTTTTAACTTAAAACTGAACCTATAAAAGAATTTTACAGCCCAAGAGAATTTTTCAGATTCATCTAGTTCAACAGCATTTTCTTCACTGATATGATTTTAAAGTGTCAGCCTTAAAAGCAAATGAGTAAAAATGAACACACCGTATACCTTAAACTTACACAATATTGTATGTCAACTGTATGTCAATACAGCTGGAAAACAAGGGCCCTGCTTTATGTCATGCAGCAGGTGTGAGCCAGGGCTGGAGACACATTACCTGTTTCGGCTGCAGGTCCTCTTCATTTTCACTACAGAAATAACCTTATCACAGGCTCAACAAGCCTCTTTTTCCAGAGGTAGGGAATGAGTTGGTTTCTCAAATTCGGGTTAGCACCATCCCCTCTCAGAACAATAATAATAATTCTGTTGATTTTGTTATATGTAATTTCTTTTGGTAGATAGCATTATGTCAAAAGTGATGATGAGTCTGTTGGGATTTATATAAGTGGCACCAACCACTGTCACATTTCTCCGGAGAAACACATCAGTTACCACAGAGCAGTTCTCAGAGTAGAGAATGGTTATAAGTTCTCAACCAATGGTTAGGGAAAGAAAAGCAGGCATTTCTCTTTATTCTTATTCTCCTTGTTTTCAGTGAGTTTTACTACAACTTTCATTCCTTCTGGCACTGGACTTATCCGAGCATATTAGTAAGAAAAAAATATTACTCTTAATTCCAAGAAATTGAACTCTTTTAATTACCATGTATGTGCCTTCAATGTTCAGGGGGTTATAGAAAACACAACAGACACTGCCTCTATGCCTAAGTCAGGATTCCAAGCTTAGTTCACTTAGTTCGAGGTCCTTTCTCCTAGTCCATTCTGGCCACAACTGCCTCGGAGCCAAGTCTTTTTTCTAAGGGGATGCAGACAGTTATTTCCTCCTTCAAAGTGATTTTAAAGCTATTTCCCTGAAAAACAAATAAAAGTTATACATACCACTCCAGTTTTTAGCCATCTTGAACATATTTGCAGCTCTTGTATACATTTCACAAGCCTCTTCTATTCTTGTGTTTCCTCTGAGAACAATTTAAAAATGAGATTAAGTTTGACTATATCAACCATCCTTATCCCTAATCCTCCCTCCTCAACTAACACATTTAATGCTATGTGCCAGACAAAAATTACAGTGTTAATAGCTGTTCAAAGGAGATACTCCTTTTATCTCCATTTCCCAGATAAGGAAACTGAGGCACACAAAATAACTAGCCCAATGTCACACAGCAAGGATGCCACAGAATGGAGACCCTCACACAGATCTGGCTGACCCCCGAGCCCACACACTCTTAACCAGAGTCCTTTCCAGGCATGCAGACTGAAGTTCTACATCTGTATGAAAAACAAGAAGTATGTTTTCCAAAGGAGATGAAACTTTTAAGGATAAAGATATTTTACCCTGTTAATTTTGAAGAGTTTAGCAGCGTGTTTATTGAGACTTAAAAACAAACCTGAAACCGGGCATGGGAAAAAGTACCATGTTGTTCTATGGCTATATTATCTGTATGCCTGGCAGGGACAGCCCTTCTCCAAAGCCCCTCACCCTACTTGGAAATGCATTTCACAGCATCCTGAGAGGAGGGAACTTCACTGCTGCTTGAATACATACAGTTCTGGAAAGTTCTTCAACAGACCACTGATTCAACTGAGGGACAGCTTAGCTGCTTAGAAATTTCTTCCAAAATTTCTAAAGCAAAATAATCCTCTGTAACTTCCACCAGTTTTCTAATTCAACCTTGTTTCTAAGCTAAGGCCCCTCTAGGAGTGATGTCTGACTATCTTGCCTATCTAACATCATAAACATAAAATAACTAGAGAGCCAAGACAAAGGAGACGTTGTGCAATACACATAACGAGGAACTCAGAGTGGAGTATGGACATAAGAAACAAAACATGGGAGATCAAAGCTAACCCTTGGAGAGTGGCCACGGGCAAGCACATTCGCACATGTCAGGACCTCACACAGACTCCAAGCTCAGGCAGGGGGTGTGCACAGATCTATGCCAATGCCAGTCCCCGTGCAGTGGAGCTGACCGTACAGGTAGGCCCAGTGTGACCTGAACCTTAGGCAGTAAGCACAAACTGGCCTGACCCAGGCTAGTTCTTTAACTTCTTCAGGCCTCTGCAAAACAAGGCTTAACCCAAAGTGGGTACTCAATCAGGATGATTATAATAGATTCATGTTTCAAAGGCATAAAAACTTTTGAGGGATATTTGATAAGGGACTTATATCTAGAAAAATGTGAAGAACTCTTACGACTCAATAATAAAAAGACTAACAACTCAATGTAAAAATGGGTAAGGATGTAAACAGACATTTCCCAAAAGAAGATGCATAAATGAAGAGATACTCAGTATCTTTAGCCACCAGGGAAATGCAAATCAAAACCACAGTGAGATACCACTTCACTCCCACTAGGATGGCTAGAATCAAAAGACAGACACAAGTGTTACAGAGGATGAAAGAAATTAGAATCCTCATACACTGCTGGTACAAACGTAAAATGGTGCAGCCATTTTGGAGGACAGGTTGGCAGTTGATCAAAGGATTAAACACATAGTTACTATATGACCTAGCAAGTCCACTCCTAGGTAAAGCCCAAAAGAAATGAAAACATGTCCACACAAAAATTTGTATACAATGTTCCCAGCAGCATTACTCCTAATTGCCATAAAATGGGAACCTAAAAGTCCACCAACTGATCAATGGGTAAATATAATGCAGTGTACACTTACAATGGATGGAGTATTACTGGACAAAAAGGAATGAAGTACTGATCCACACTACAACATGGATGAGCCTTGAGAGAAACCAGTTACAAACAAGCACATATATGATTCCATTTATATGAAAGGCAAATCAGAAAACAGATTTGTGGATGACTACAGCTGGGAGTGTTAGAGAAAAATGGGGCACAGGGAGGGTACAGAGGTATTTTTGGGGGTGGTGAAAATGTTCTAAAATGGATTGTTATGATGGTTGCACAGCTTTGTGCATATGGCAAAAACTACTGAATTGGACACTTTAAATGGGTGAATTGTATGGTATGTGAATTATATCTTAATAAAGCTATATCCTCCTCCAGCCCCCCAAAAATCTTTGGGGACCATGACAGGATGGGAACAAGCCTCACCAAAATGAAATGTGTGAACAAGCAGAGCCTTCTCGCACACTTTTTTGTTCCTTTCTCTCCACTTCAAATATTGGTCAATTACTCCAGTGGAAAATTCCTACAAAAGTTTTCAACCTTAGCCATATCTACTTGGAGCTAACAAAGGTTTGCCACTTTCTTGTGTCTTAGTTTTTTAAAGTGTACCAGGAATCTTGAACTGTAATTATAGTGCAGTCATTCTTATTAAAGATTTCCAAATAAAACTAGGTTAATTAAAATATACTTTATCCCATTATTTCCAGAGACAGATTCAGCTAGGAATAATAGAATGCCACACTATGCTAGGTTTTATGTTTGGTATTTCCAAGTTACTTCATTTTCATTATTACAACAGCCATGAAAGACACTATCTCCATTTTGACAGAAGAAAAAACTATCTGGAGGTCGATGGCTCGCCCAAAGTCATCCAATCAAGGTCAGTGGTGGAGCTGATACCTGAGGTCAAGTTTAGTGATTTTTATAAAAATAATGAATGAACCCTGCTAGACTCAAGATCCTCACCACTCCTAAAACAGAATCACTGTAAGTATTCTCATTGTATTCTCACTTTTCATAAACAGAACATCTTCAACAATTCATGAAAAAAGCACTTTTGAAATTACTGTGTTCTATACTTGTGAAAGTTAATTTTTGTAAGTTTTAAGGATAAATATTCAGAATTCACTTTTAAATAATTCATCTGATTATTATCCAAAGACCCATAAATGAAGAAGACCCTTGAAAAACAGAAACAAGTTTCTGTGAGGGAATCTTCATTGTATAGTGATACAATGTAACTACATGGCACTGAATTGACATTAAGAAAGCTAACTTGAGTCAAATTAACTATTCTTGGGGATTATGGTATCCTGATCTCAAACAAGAATATGTTTTCTACATCATGAACGAAAACAGTGATGAGCCTGCATAAATTAGCACCATCACCACCACGTCCTGGCTAATGCCACAATTCCAGGGACAAGGCCAACTCCCTTCTCCTCTTGACCATGCTTACTCAGGAAACAGATCAGTATGTGTCAGAAGCACCAAGGAAAACACATTCTTGCCCAAAGGAGGTCCGAATGCTAAGGGAAGAGGATTTAACTTCAGTGCTGGGGAAGATCTAAGTATCTGACCTTCCACCCCATGTTCCACTGAGGAAACATGGTCAGAGCCACATGTTCCACTAGAGCCAGTGGACAGCACAGCTGTGCCTTGAGCCCAGCCTGCAAGTCCCTGCCTCTAGTCACTGTCCCATCCTGCCTGTTCCCACTGAGGTATCTGGGAAGGGGTAAATAACTCAGCCCTTTATTTCAAAGAGGTCTTTTTAAAAGCAAGTAACCCTTGAATGATGTAGTCTTGATGTCTCATCATCTTGAGTAAGACTTTAGAGCACCGTAAGACACCGACAACTAGTACCTACTCTTTTAAAACCATGGATGGGAGGAGGGAGATGTTAAAGTGAATTCCATGGGGCCTAAAAGCACACACACCATGATATGTACCTGAAAGAAAGGGTGACAACTGCAGAAAAAAAGCAGTTTCTAAAATCACAAGATTCTGAAATCAGAGGGCTGAAAACAGGGACCGTTTTTAGTGGTGCCCAGGACTCTTGGGGGAAACCCCACCAGCTAGGAGCACTCCTTCTCATCACTCTAGCCACAGGCTGATGCTCTGGGGAGACGGACCAGGGCAGGGCCTGGCACACAAACCTCAATAACAAGGCCAACCAAGCATTTCCACACCCAGTGATCGCTTCAGCCACAGAGGGGCTCAAATCAGTTCTAATTGACTACCCAGTTAGCACCAGCCCCACGTGTAAGGCCCCAGTCCCATAAGACTTCCCCCATTTCAGGTCAGTGGGTCCTCAGAGCACTCACATCTCTAACATGGCTATATACAAAGCAGGGATTACCATGACACCCTCCTCAATTCCATAATTTGCTAGGATGGATCACACAACTCAGATGATCATTCACTTACTATTATTAGTTTATTATATGTGATACAGCTCAGAACAGCTAAGTGAAAGAAATGCAGAAGGCGAGACTTGCAGGAAAGGGGTGCACCACTTCCCAGCACCTCCATGTCTTCATCATATAGAAGGTCTCTGAGCCTCACTGCTTAGGGTTTTTATGAAAGCTCATTACAGAGGGATGACTTACTAAATCTCTGCCCATCAGGGATTCACTCAATCCCCAGCCCCTCTCCATTCCTTAGAGGTCAGGCATGGGTCTCAAAGTTCCAATCCCCTAATCATAAGGCTGGTTCCCCTAACAACCAGACCCCATCCTCTAAACGTCATCCTAAGTGTAAACACAGGTGTGGTTGCAAGGAGCTTATTATGAATAACAGAAGACACCCCCACATTCCCACCACTCAGGATCTTATAAGTTCTGTGCCAGGTATCGTGATAAGGAACATATAAGTTTCTTGTTGTATCACATCATACACACAGCCATACAGAACTATTTATTCTATTTTTTACCCCCATAAGCAATTTTATTCTGATACTTCATTTATGTAATCTCCAGAGAATCTAAAAACTTAGGAATTTTCCTAGATACACTTAACCCTTTTGAGACTATTTCCTTGCTAGGCTTAATATATTTAAAAATAGTCCAATTTCTTCCATGTGATGTAGGAAGCAGGGATCTGCAGCAGGGGAGACACAGAGGCCTCAGGGTGACATTTTTCATGATGCTAATGTGAATTCTTATACCAAATGCCAGTAACCACTAGAGTGAGGTTCTTTGTTTCTCACAAACCAGTAGTAGCTGTTGTGGCAAGGTACAGGCTTTGAAGACATACTACCTACAAATGAACGTTCGTTACTTACTAGCAGCAAGCTCCCAGGACAGAGCGGGTCG